ATGAAGAATTTTCTATGGAGAGCGCCAGCAACGCAGTATTTCGGTTTCAAATCAGTTATCGGTCAAATCACGATATTTTTTAAATATTTTTTGGAATAATGATTTGCACGTATTTGTAGATAAATTAACCAAAAATGAACATTTTCCAAATAATATTACTACCAAATTTGTTAGATCGAATATTTTGTAAGTGGTCGGTTTTGAGCTCGCCATTCGGTCAAATCATAATATTTTCAAAAAATTAATTAGGATAATGCTTAACACGTTATTGTTCACGTATAAACCAAAAATGAAAAATTTTCCATGTATAACGCTAGCAAGGCAGTATTTAGTCATACCCTAATTTTTTTAAAAAATAATGAAGATTATTTATTATGTATTTGATAAAATTAAGAGCAAATCCTTGTTGACATTTTAATTTTTGATGGAAAAAGCGACAAAATAAATCTGGGCGGTCGTCTGGAGAGGAAATAATTAATGTATAATTTTATATCATTAAGGGTTGTAAATGAAAGTGATGACGGATTAACAAAGCAGTGTACAAAACACATTATGAAAGATGATATGCCTATGCCTTAGGACTGGTAAAAGAAGAACGCAAAACGATATTTTTGTCAATGTCAGCATTGGTATCCCCTTCTAAAATAGAATCATGAACGACAATGTTAACTCAATCGTAAAACGGTCGTAAGTATCGTTATAAAGGCCACGACAGAACTACTGCATATATTTCCATTAATAAAGTTGATGAAATTGGGCGTACTGTACATTCAAGTTTGAACACGCAAAACGATATTTCTGTCAATGTCAGCATTGGTATCCCCTTCTAAAATAGAATCATGTGAATGATAGTACAGAATTAAATGTTTATATTTGTTAAAAAATAGGCGGAGGCATAGGGATTGTGGTAGTGGTGATAGTATAATTTGGAGAACTGGGTGAAAATAAAATAAACATAGATATAAAACATAAGATAAAAAAAACAAAATAAACCTCCAGATGAGTTCATTTCAAGCGTAGTTCTTTATTATTTTGTCTACCAGTAACTCTAGAATGGGTAAGGCGTTTGTTTAATCATCATTATTATATTTTTTGCTTATCTTTAATAAGAGATTCATCATGTTTTGTAGCAATGTGAGGGATTAGGGTTAGCCTAGACAAATAAAGAAATCAGACAAAAATATAAATAAACTATTGTTAAAATTAAACAAACATTAAAATAATGTAAAACCGGTAGATGGGTCAATATTAGATGCATATTTCTAGTAGTTGGAGGGCTATCATCAAAAAAAATTTTTGGGGGACTTATCAAGCCTATTATGATATTCTAAAAGTTAAAAAATAACATGATGAATGTAATGTTATTAAGATTAAGGTTAATTAATTATAAGGTAATAAAAAATAAGATTAAAAAAGGGAGGGAAAAAGAAGGTATAAATTATTATATTATAAAAATAATAAAAACTAAATTAAAGGAATTGATAAGGTTTTGAGAAATAGTGGTTAATAGATAATAGAGATAGAAAGAAAAGAATGAGATAATAAAATTTAGTGATAAATAAATTCATTAAGGGAAGGGAAAAAAATAAAGAAAGAGCTATTTATAAGGATTGGAGATTAAGGATAAGAATATTTAAATATTTGAATATACTTGGTTATCTTCTTAATTATTGGTTATGAAAGAAAAATATGAGTATTAAAAATTGTAATGTAAGTACTGACAAAAATTGTGAGTATGTTCAAAATAAATGTACAAGTTGAGTATCTTGTAGAGATTTCATTAATGTGTAATTGATAATATGAGATGAAAATTGATATGGTAATCTAAAAAATAAAGAAAGGATTAAGTGAAATAAAAAGTTTCATTCATATTTACAAAGTTGAGGGAATATTGTTTTTATCAATTCAAAGATGATTTTTCAAATCTCTCAATCCATGTAAGGTATGTGTACACCATCAATTCTGGAAATTCCATTCATCTGTTTGTATAGAATAAATAAATAAAATCAACAAATAAAAAAAATAAAAATATATTACCTACCGATGACATGAGTAGCGATGACATAACGTCACGATGACGTATTTGTCACAATTGATAGATTTTGACATTGGGAATCAGAACCTAATAAAATAAAAATAAAAAATATATATACTAAAATCTGATTATTAATCTTTATTAAATAAATAACTATAATCAAATACAAAGTGACAAACATAATCAAAATAAAAGAAAAATAAAATTAATATAAGAAAAATAAAAGTAAAAAATTAAAAAGTAAAAATTTAAATTTAAGTTAACAAAAAAAAATAATTTTTCGCATAATAATTTCTCCATTATATTTCCTTTTTAATCAACATTTACATAGTCTCCCAAGCTAAAAATAAAAAGTTCTACATCTCACTTGTTAAAACTCTTAAAGTATGAAAAAATCTACAATTATCACGCGTTTTTTTTTCATGAACATGGGGATCTAAATAATAACTTACTAATTTTAATAAAACATTATTTTTGTTTACGAAAAGAATAATGCATTTTTTAGTAACGCAAAAATGCAACAGTGAGGGCATCGGAAAATTATAATATAGATAAATTACATTTTATTCTCTTTTAACCAAAAATAATTTTCCTTTTATATCCTTTTTTTAACAATAAATAAATAATTAAATAACCAAATATGTAAAATAAAAATGTTCGTTTAAAATTGATATCAAAAAAATATATCAATTGCCAAAATAAATGGATTTTAAAATAATGTTAATTTGATAAAATAAAACGTAAATATAAAATATTAACAGTATTCAAACCTAGCAAGCCATTTTTAAAATCGTTTTATAAGAGACTCAATAGATGTATTCTACATTAGATTTACTTCTAGCCATTTGGAGTATGAAACGACACCAATTAGCCAATATTGCGAATCCACTGGTCCAGTAAAATCAATAAGGATTAGCTCCCAAGATTCTTTAGCTACAGTCCAAGAATACTGAGGTGCATCTTGAATTTCAGTTTCTGACACCTAGAGCATATTTTGATAAATTATTCTATCAATATTTTTATAGTTAAAACAATAGATTTTTTATTTTAAAATTGTTTCCTATATATATAGTATTTTATAATTATGTCATTTAACTTTTACTAATATGCAATTACAGTGACCTCCATAAGATAATATTAAATGTAAGAAAGTTATAATAAAATATAATTCAAATAGCGTAACCTTTTAAAATATATATAAACATTCAAATATAACATATCTTCTTTCCCACAAGTTAAGATCATCTATCAATCTTTTTATTACCAAGTTTAAGTTCATCTATTAATCTTTTTGTTGGCTTTCGTTCCCTTGTTGGATATCGCGTTTGCCCACCTTTTTTGGCGGTTCAATTGTTTCTACTGTTTTAGCGTCTCCTAACTTTATATTGTTATTTGTTATTATTGATTTTGTTTCATCTAGTTCTTCTCTTATTCGTAGTTGATCTGCGTGTTTTTGACACCTAATTCAGTGGTTGACTAATTTTTCGACAGCTTTATCTAATTTTTCCCACCATATATAATGTATCGTAATGGATTTCATTGATGTAATACCGAGATGACCAGTATGTAATATCTGTAAAACTCGTTTTTGTAGTGAATATGAAATTATTAATCGACCATTCCAAAATAGGATACAGTCATCATTTTATATCTCATCTATTCTTGTTCTAAAACTTGTAATTCTGGTGCTTGATTTTGTATATTTGTACCATTTGATAATATTTTTAATCTTCTTAAAATTGGATCTTTCACATTTTCATCTCTAAGTTCTTTTTTTGATAGAGTTAATGAGTCATAAGTTATACTTCGTATATATTTCACTGTTTTGTTTTCGCTTGTTATTTTATTATCATTTTTCTCTATTAGGTTTCGCGCAAAAGCATCTGCAATTATATTATTAGCGCCATTCTTGTACATTTTATCATAATCATATGCAGATAATTTATACGCCCAAAGTAATAATCTTTGGTTTGTTAAGGAGTTTAAATCTCTGTTATCACCATTTTTATTAAAGGTTTGCGGTGTTTGTATTTTAAATTTTCGTCCATACAAATAGTTATGAAATTTTTCTACGCCGTTTACTATGGCTTTGGCTTCTTTGTCGATTGTGGAATAATTCTTTTCAGCATCTTGTAACGTTCTAGAGGTGTAAGCTATTGGGTATTCGTTACCATTATCATATTTTTGCATGAGTACAGCTCCAAATCCTTGGTTAGATGCATCTGTTTCTAGTATTAGCTCAAGATCCGATTTATAAAATTATATAGTATTTTGTTATGTTACTATTCCTTTTGCTTTTTCAAATAATGCATCATCTTTTTTAGTCCAATTTCATTTTACATTTTTACTAGTTTTATTATGTAATTCGCTATGAATTCCATGTAAGTTTGGTATGAACCGTGTATAATAGTTTAATATACCTAAAAATGATTTTATGTCATGTCTATCTTTTGGAGTTGGATATTTTTGTATTGCTATTATTTTATTTTTATCTGGGTGTACATTTTGATCTATTATGTATCCTAAATATGATACTTTTTCTTTCATAAAATTTATTTTGCTTGTTTTGACTTTTAATCCCGCATTTTGTAATTTTTTGAGGACTTGTTTTATATTTTCTATATATTCAGTATCATTTTTCCCTGTGATTATAACATCATCTAAATAACTGCTGTATCTTTACAATCAGCCAGTAAATCGTCTATATATCGTTAAAATATTATTGGTGCTGTAGCTATACCAAAAGGTAATCGTAAATAGCGGTAGTATCCATTTGGTGTTACCATTGTTAATAATTCTTTCATCGTCAATGCTCATTTGTAAATATGTATCTTTTAGATCTAATGTTGTATATTTATTTCCATTAGCGATTTTTGCGATTAATTCTTCAAACGTTGGTAGAATGTGATAGTCTTTTAGTAGAAATTTAATTAATGTTACTTTGGAATCTCCACATAATCGTAGTTCACCTGATACGTACCACTACCATTAGAGTACCCCAGGTTACTCGTGTTGTTGATGGATCTATTTTCTTTATTATATTATTTTCTTCCAAACGTTTCAGTTCATTTTCAATTTCTAATTTTAAAGGCAACAGTACTCTTCTAGCTGACAGTGCAATTGGTTTTGTATTTTCTTCCAATTGTAGTTTTATTGGTTCGACATTTTTTATTAATACTAATTTATTATCAAACATTGCAGCAAATTCTTTATATAGTTTGTCAATATTCACGTTCCCATTATCATTGTATTTATATCTATTGTTGATCATATTGATTTTTATATTTGTTGGTAACGATAAGTCAAATTCTATAATCCACGGAAATCCAAATAGGGCTGCATCATTTGTTTGTGTAACTAATAACGGAAGCCATTTTATTTTATCATTTAATTGTACTTTTACATCAGCTTCGCCCATAATTTTTATTCTATTATTTCCATATGTAGTTGGTGCTTTAGCTCTTCTAAGTTTTGGCCTTCCCATTTTATTCCATATTATTTCATTAATAATGGTTACTGCCGAGCCCGTATCATATTCCCTTTTAATTTTTTAGTTGTTTATTAATACCTCAATTGTTAGATGTTGTCCATATTTGTATATTTTTCTTATTGAGACATCCGAATCGTCGTCTTTATTATTGTAATTTGTACCGTAAATCTTTTCTTTAGTTTTACAACATACGGCGAAATGTTTGGTTTCCTACATTTGCTGCACAATTTTCCGTAGGCGGGACAATTTCTAATAGCATGAAACCGATTACAGAAATAGCATGGTTTTCTCCGATTACTATTATTATGTGGTAGTTATTATACCCAGCCACTAGTTCTCTTTTTACATATGCTTTATTATCCTTTTGATTATCATTATCATTATTATTATACTGCCGATTGTTTTTAACATGTTGATTTATCCGATTATTATTATCATTATGTTTATTCGTCTCTTTGATTTTATATATCATTTTATCAGTATTATTTATTTCTAAGTCAGCTCGTTCCATAGCTAAAGCCAATGTTTAAGCTCAACGGTTGGTCTTCGTATTTAGTATCTGGATATCTTAAACGTAGTTCTTTATCTAGTTGTGAGATCTTTAGTCCGGCGATTAATTGATCACGAATTCTTAGTTCTACGTTATCTTCGAATTCGCATCTTCGAGCTAGCTCCTTTATATTTTTTAAATAGCTCATTACGGATTCAGTAGGCCCGCGACTTAATCTAATGAAATCAATTCTAGATGCCAAGATAGTTCTTTCATCTTTATACAGTTGTTTAGCAATTTTGTATATGTCAATCCATCTTACTTCCTCTATTTTCCTAGGATAGAGTAATTTTTTGATATCAGTTATAATGTTTATTCCTCCATAAGCTATAAATAATTTTTTTAAAGTGGCGTCAGTTTGAGGAATATTTTTCACATTCAGTAGATATTTTATATAATCAATGTAGTCATCGATGGAACAATCTTTTTTTTTAAAGTCCTGTAAAATTATTTTAAATATAATTTCTAAAATATATTATTTTTTTTATAAACAGAAAAAAACTTATAATTCTATATAATATTAAACTTGACCGAAGACCGAAAACCGCTTATGTCATTTAACTTCTACTAATATGCAATTACATTGACCTTGATAAGATAATATTAAATGTAAGAAAGTTATAATAATATATAATTCAAATAACGTAACCTTTTAAAATATATATAATATAAACATTCAATAACAAATATCACATCTGGGTCAGCAATAATATAATCTAAATATAGATTTCATCACATTTTCCCCTGGTCAATCATTCCTAACACTGAATTCCTTAATTTATTAAGTATAACCAATCTCCCATTCCATTCTATCTCCTCTCGCTGTTTATAAAAATTAACAATGTCTCTATTAAAGGTCTTCATTGGGAGGGATTTTGATCATGCCGCCCACGCCAGCCCATCTAAGTGGGCCAGAACGGGCAAATGGGCGAGCGGATTAAAAAATTATTTAAACTTTGGGCGGGTGGGTGGGCCGGTTAAGAAATTTAAACATGAGCGGGCGGGCTAAAAAAAAATTTAAATCATTTAACTAAATATTAATAAAAAATTGTTCTTATGAATTTTTTTAGATATTAAAAATTAAATCGTCCTTTTTTGGTATCATAAAACTTTTTTCATAAAATAAATTAACTATTTTCTATATTTAAAACTACTTTAGTTGAAACGACAAGAAAGATTTGCTAAAGTTATCAAGATTAGCAAGAATATTATTGGCAATTCCTGAAACTGCTTCTTCTTAATGAGGATTTAGAATTGCTGGAATGTTTTTAGAACAAAGAAGAACGTGTTTGAGTCCAGAAATGACGATTCATAATTATTTTTGCATAATTACATATAATATCAAATTTATATTTATATTTTTTTCAAAGATATTTTATTTGATCAAATAAAATATCCATTATTATAATTGAATATTTTTTAATGCATAATATAGTAATTTCAAATTATTAAAACTTTTTGTAGAGATGTAATGTTGATTTTTTTTTATTAGTTACTTAAAAAATTGAAAGAATGGCTTTAATTAAATTTTTTAAAAGCGGGCTTGGGTTAAAATTTTTTTATAAATAATTGGTGACGGGTAAAAAATTATAGATTAATGGGCGGGTGGGTAAGGAATTTTATACTGATAGGCAGGCGGGCGGGTATATATTTTTTGAAAACTATGGGTGGGCGGGTGGATTAAATTTTTTAAAACATTGGGTGGGCGGGCTTATGGTGCTAAAACCCGCCCAATGAAGACCTCTAGTCTCATCTTTATGACGATCTCAAATTTGCTCAATATGCAATGATATTTTTTTTTAAAGTTAAATCTTGCTTCGACTCTTATCATAGAATATTTTCTGACAAATGTTGTCATCCAAATTAAAACTTCAAATCTCCAAGACATGTTTAGAATCTTGATTCTTTTCCACTAATATCGCTAGCTTTAATAATATAATTGCACACATTACTTTAAAGTTAGTATGTTGTGAAATCATAAGAAACTATCTTCCAGGTCCAATGAATCAAACAATTTTTAGAAATTTTAGGTAGATAGCCTTTCTCCAAAAATAATTTCTCTAATGAAATTTTTCACTATCAAATAAAAGTGCTATAGATTCTTTATCAATCTAAGATTAGTGTTTCTCTGATTCTAATAAAGTCCGTGACGCGAACTAAATAGGTTTTGTCTTTTCGTCTATTAATTGATGTAACAACACAGTCCCTAATCCTGAATTAGTACTCCAAAATTATCGGCAACTGCTTATAAGGAATTAACGTTTCCTCGGATGACAACAATTTTTTAATCTCGAAGAAATTTTTTTCATATTTTGTCAACCGCCGGTACTTCACGCTCGTTAATCCATGTACTTTCGCAGCTTTACTATGTAGATTACGAATAAATATATGATAATTCACGAGTCCCAGAAAAGATCTAAATTGTTATATATTCTTAGGCTTTGGTGCATGATAGCCATCACCTTTTCTGGATTAGGATGTATATCGAATTATGAATAATTAACCCTAAATATAATATCGATTTTAGCAAAAATTGGACTTTCGTCAATTTCCCCTAAAACCAGCACTCTGTAATCTGTCTAAAATGATACGCAAATTTTTTATATGCTCTTCGGCCAGTAATAATTACGTCATCTAAGAATGCGCCTGTCATTTGGCAATCTTTTAACAACTCATCTATATATCTATAGAATATAGTAGCATCTGCTAATCCAAAAGACATTGGTCGTTAACGGCAGCGTCTACATGACAGGAAATTTATTGGATGCAAACCCCCCTCAAAAATCAATACCCCCCCCCTCCCCTAAATACCGCCTCCGCCGGCGATATTTATACATTCTTAATTATACCTTTTTAATTATGATAATACTCCCTTTATATATTTAAAAAAAAATAATTATATTATTAATGCTCTACTAACAACTATCAAAATATTGTGAACGTAAATGAGTTATTTTTTGGTACCATGAATTCAATTAAAAGAACTCACATTTACAATGCATTATTATAGTATATTGTTTGGCATGAATGTAAGTTTAATGATAGAATCTCTAACCCTTTTAAATTACTTTTTAAAGGAGAGCTGAAACTTATCCAGAAATTGTTTTATTTCCAAAACAATGTCTATAATTGTATGCAATATATAGATTTGGTCAATGTTTAGCAATATCATTGTATTATAATATGTCTATAATAAAAGTATTAATTTTTGCAGCAATATATTTTTCCCTATTTCATCTAAAAATTTAATAGATTACCCACCAATAAATTTATTCTACTTTTAGTCTACCTCCCTTAAATGCCTACCCCCTACCCCGCTCAAAAATAATTGGATACAAACTGTTCCTACCCCCATCTGTAAATATGAATCCTTCAGATCTCTCACGGTAAATTTACCGCCTTGGAATTTCGTTAATAAATCGTCAAGGTAGGAATAACATGATGGTCATACAATAAACACTGATTAAGCGTAACCTTGAAATCAGCGCATCCATATGGTTGGCGTTTACCCTAGTTTGAAAGCTATTATCAATGGTAAATCGAAAAGAGGCGCCACATTAGTGTTCATTGTTAACACTGTTAGGGTCCTTGTCTGTGATCCAATCTTAATATTAACTTGGGTCTCGCTCTTAACGGCTAACAAATAGTCCGCATATGCGGTCAATGGACTGGCTGTTGGTCTAATATTTGGTCGTCCAATACTTGTCCATATATCAATTCTGATCAATGACGCCTGTGCTCTAGTGTCAAAATCAAATTCAACATCTAACTCATTAATCCCTGCAGTTGGTTTTGCTCGATTCCATCGATTTTGTTGAATCTTCTATATATTATGAATAGAATTACTTAATGCACTCTTATATAAATTAAATTCCTTGATTTGCAATAAACTGCAAAACGACAAATTTTTTTACATTTGTTACATGCCGTATTTGTGGCTGGACATCCTTCTCAGTTATGAATAAACCCACATTTGTAATATTTAAGTTTATTATAATCTTTATAAAATGTATTATTATATTTGGCTTTATTATATTCTTTATCAAGCTTTTTTGAGCCTCTATCAAACGTATTCCTTTTAAATAGATGTTTATAATTATAATAATTATTATTATCATTTCTTTTATTATTATCATTTATCTTTTTAACAATCGGCACATTTTTATTCGCTATCTTTTTGTCTGCTTGCTCAAAAGCAATCGCCTGATAAGAATAAATTGGAAAGTCAATACATTATTATCTCTATCAAGATTGTCGGGATATAGAGCCTTAACATCTCTTTCCAATCCCGGTATTTCCATGCCAACTATAAACTGATCACGTAAACGCCCGTCAATATCAGCTTGTTAGGAGTGACAGTAGTCATATATTTGGGGCATAGAATTATGGGAAAAGAGGTGATACCATTGGATAAAAATATGACGGGAATTACGAGTATGCTGAG